TAATTTTTATTTATATACTTATGTCTTATTTCCAGTGCTGGATTGAGGAAGTGGGGTGGGGGTAGAAGGGTTTTAGCCGCGGGACTCACAATATTAGGGGAAATGATGGTCAAGAAGACCATTCGGTATTTTTTTAAGTCATTTTTACGCTGTGGCACATAAAAAAGGCCGCCAAAATAGTGCAGCCCCCGTCCCTGAAAAGTCCAACAAGATTCAACCAGATGATTTATTTATAAATAAAAAAGTTTTTTTAATAACTGTTTTATGCTTCGTGTAGTTTAAAAAGTTTAACATATTTGAAACGATTCTTCTTAATAAGATGAACAAATGAAATAATTAAATCATTGAGTTACTGTAGCAATTCAATTAGCTAGATAGAAATTAACAAAAAACGTTAAATTACTTTGTGAGGAGGAAGCGGAACTGCTTCAAAACACCGCTGATGATGTTTAGTAAGTGGACTTCATAATTTTAATTAGTATTTAAAATAGAAAAAAGTAACGAGTTTCTATGAATGGCTGAAGCAAAAATAGTAGAAGTTAGTAAACCAATTTCTAAGAATTTAAAAACTTTTCTTTCTTAGGAGAAAGAATCAGTTATCGGGTACTCTGAGGAAAATGGATTAGTGGTTAAAATTATTTGTATTAACTTTGACGATTATTAATAATTTCATTGAAAACGCAGTTATTATTAGAAGTATTTTTGTTTACAAAATCAATCGCACAAATTGCTTTAAAAGATTACATTTGAATAAAATACACATAAATAAAATTGCATAGATAAAAATACATTACATACATAAAAAATACATCCCTTATATATAAAAAATAATAATATACTAATAAAATGTATTTACAAAAATCTAAAATGTATTTACAAAACGTTGACAAGTTAAAAAATATAATTTTAAAACATTTTTTATTGTAAACAAATGTTAGTTTAAACTATTTATAGCTTTGCAGATGTGGCTCCAAGAATTAAAATATTACTTCGTTTGATAGTATACTCTTAAAATAATTTATGCTAGAAATCTTAACAAAAATATAACAAAATTCAAATAATACAGTTTTTTAAAATATTTAAATAGAATACTCAGGACATTTGCTTAGTTTTTTTTGAATACTAAAAATTTCGATTAGTATTTTTTTTGAACCAATAGAATTAGTTGTTTGTAGATTTGGCGGGTTTTTTGTGTTCGCGAATATTCTTTTTTTATTTTTCCGCAAGATGTTTGAGAACATTCAAGTTTATACACACTTCCATGTAAGTCCGTTAAACAAAATATTTTAAAATTTGTGACAAAATGAACTTATTATTTTGCAGACAAACAAGGAAACATACATAAACTTCAATGTTCTCAAAACGACTAAAAAATCTGGCCAGTTTTTCGCAACTAAATATTATTTCCGTGGTCAGTTATCGAGTGCGATCGCACCCGCTTCCCGACCAAGCCTGATATATATATATATATATATATATATATATATTTATATTGTTAGATGAGTTAAATTTGAAATTTCTGTCTTCCAAGTACAACGGTTCAGAAATTATAGCCTTAGAAATATGACACCGTGGCCCCCTCCATTTTCAAATGGCCAAAGCAGACTACTTTAGAGCTGTAAAACTTTTTTCTCAATTTCAACGAGTGTCTCATTTTTTCTAGAACTTTATTCTGGATAGTTTTCTCTTTGTAAAAGTGTTTTTTATTAACTTGTGTTAAACTAGAAAATAATAATGACATTCTTAACTTTGGAAAAAATCCTAAAATTACTAACATATGCTAAAATGAAACTAACTGTACCATGATTCTATTCATCCACAAGTCTTTACAGATAAGTTTTCTGATTAGCTACTACTGTCTGCAATAAATGGGCAAAATATAGGCAGCTTGTTGCAGTTTAGAACTCAAGTATATCTAAAAGCAAAATGTGCACTCGCCTAAAAAGTCCAATTTTCAGCCATTTTGAGATACTTGTAAATTTTTGTAAACACTTTATTTTGATCTAAGATTAATAGCATATAAGACCATTAAACCCAACTACCTGAAAATGCAAACATGATAAACTTGTCAAATCCATACTAAAGATGCTAGCATTTAAAAAAAAAACTCTATTTTTCAATTATCAACGGTTGAATGTGTTGCTAGAAACCAGTGCCCCTTTAATCTGCCAACTGGCCTATGTACAGTGGTCCAGTACCATGTCATATATACAAAAACATAGTTTGTTTTATAATAAAAACAATTTAAAAATTGAATTATATATAGTAAGTGAAAACCAGATTTAAATTTTTAAGGTCCGTTATTAAAAAAAAAATTGTCTAAGGAGGGTTTGAAGTTCAAAAATTGACACAAAACTAAATATTTTGGGCAAAAATCAGTCTGCAAACTTTTATACATTCTCACTTCTACCAATGTCACAGATATACCAATTTTTTTAAATATCCTTATAAAATATGGAGGATCAATATAAAATAATTTAAAATACAAAGTTTCATAAAAAAGACACAATTTACTGCATGTTTAACACTTTTTTCTTTTAAATTGTTTGAAAATAAAACTTAAAACAATCAGTAAAATTTTTGCCCAGGTTTTCAGAAAGTTTCTGAAAAAGTTTTGGCTGCTTTTGTTTGCTTTTGTGTCTATAGGGTCAGTTTAAACATGACATACTTAAACTAAAATACAGCTCCCGTCACACTCCCGATGTTTTTTTTACAAGTTTCAATCGCGAATATGAATAGCGGAATATTTTATCTCCTTATTCTTAATCTAAATAAAGAAGGAAGAAGTAAAGACGCCAAAGTTTTAAAACATATGATGGAAAGTAAAGTTGATAGATCCTGCAATGTATCATGCTCTAAAGTCTACTCAGCTGAAGAAGCTTTAGCTTTAATGTTAGACTGTAAAATGAGTAGGGCTGACTATCAAACTATCCGTCAAGGGGCCTTAAAGGTTGCATGTTATACCCTGCCTACAACTTTATTGTGAAATCTAAAAGTTATTGTATTCCAGATTCCGGAATTGTTACCACAAACTACAGTGCTTCTGTAAATCTTCAAGAAATAATGGATCACACTACAAACAGGATTTGGAAAGTTATTGATAAATCAAAACTACCTGAGCCTTGCAATACTCTTCTTCTTATAAACAAAGTCGGATTCAAAGGCTCAACTGGACAATCTGTTTACAAACAGAGAACTGAAGATGAAGTGGACAGATTGTCATTCTCAGTTGAAGAATCTTTGTTTCTTTCATGTACAGTACCTGTAAAACTTAAAGTTCAGGAAACTAATGTTATTCTTTGGACTAACCCCAAAACATCCTCATCCCAATATTGTCGCCCTGTTCGAATGTAATACGTTAAAGAAAATCAGCACATTGTTAAAGCAGAATATGATTTTTTTAAGTCAGAACAACAACCATAGACATATTTCAAGTCAAGCACAAGTTAGAATGTACTATGATTGACAGAAAAGTTTCCACTCTTCTTTCTCCATTAACTGATTCTTATCAAGTTTGCAATATATGTGGATTAGATCCTAAAAAAATGAATAATTTTGTAATTGCTTATAATAAACAACCTAATCAGATGTGTTTGGACCTGGGAATCTACAATCTCCATCTCTGGATTCGTTGTTTTGAATGTCTGTTACATATTGGACAGAGAAGAAGACCAGGGAACAATGATTGTGGATTTTTTCATGCAAACACTCCTGAAAAGAAAAATATAGTTGCAAGTAGAAAAAAAGAAATTTAGGAAAAAATCAAAGATACACTTGGACTTGTTGTTGATGTTCCAATAAGTGGTGGCTCCGATACATCCAATGATGGAAACACAGCAAGAAGGGTATTTAGAAGCCATGAAGCTTTTGCTGAAAGACTTGGAATTGATAAGGGTCTTGTTAAAAGATTTTTTATTATCCTTTGTGTGTTATCCTGTAAACACCCAATTGATCCAGATAAACTAGAATAGTATTGCAAAGAAACATGTAAGACATATGTAGCACATTTTAAATGGTATTCTATGCATGTTGGAGTTAACAAGATGATTGTACATTTACACCAGGTTGTGAGAGACAAGCCAGTTCCAATTGGCCTCTTATCTGAAGAAGCCCAGGAAAGTAGAAATAAAGATGTTAAAAATTTTCAAGAACATTTTACCAGAAAATTTTATAAAAAACTTACAAATGAAGATGTAATGAGAAGATTGCTCTGCTCATCAGACGCCTTTATCACTTCTATGAGGCGAATTTGCTGAATCAAAAAAAGAACTTCCAGCAGAATGTTTAGACCTTCTTTTGTAACTTTCTAAATAATATTATATTCTTTATATCAAACTAATTGAATTATTAATGGTATGTTTTCTTAATATAT